TTTTTTGTTTTTTTTCTGACGAGAAAACTTGCAACGTCATTGTTACACTAGGAGCTATAAAAAAACTTGGTAGTTATTTTAAATGGGTTTTATGAAGGAAACTTCACATAAACATTTGGCCTAAAATGCTTAGTTTTGAACGTTTGATGTTCAAAGTTGCGCTGAAGATGAATTTCTTCTAATATGTTTGAATGTTTAAAGATACATAAATAAAATTTTACACATGTACTAAATTACCTGCTTTACAATTTACAATTAGAGTTAATAACCAAATATCATCAAAGGTGGGTTAAAAAGGAGGGACTGTGAGAGTTTTCTTCAAAATTTAATAACAAAATTTAAAATTTCAAAATTTTTTATACAAAAATTGGTCGTAAGGTCGGTCATCTCATTGAAATGCCTTGTTTTTTTTTTTGAGTAATATCATTTTGTTCACTGTTCATGATATATTCGTTGAAATTACTTTCAGATAATAATATAATGATGTAATAATAATAATAATAAATACTTAGTTAAAGTTTGTACAGAACGAAAATAATTAAATTAAAAACAAATTTTATATTTTAACAGCGAAATAAGTGTTATGGATCAAAACATTGACACAAAATTATCAAAATTGTTGGAATTGACCTTCACCAACCATTACGCATTGCGCATCGTACTATAAAGGGCAATTATGATATTTATAAAATCATTCTAATTTCTGATCGATCGCTGGTGTGTAAGTACATATATCAATAAATTGATGTGTCCCCATAAGAAAAAATTTAACCCATTTAAATCGGGAGATCTAGGAGGCCATTACCGTGGTCCACCTCCACTTATTTATCAAAATAAACCTGATTTAAATATTCCCCAGCTGACCTCTTATTAACGGAAGAAAACCCACGAGCGAAATAGGCAGCTCAATTTCTAAAATAAAATACGATGGAAACGTCAATCTAGTGTACCAGGAAGAAGGAATGATCCTATGAGATGATCGCCTGCGAGATCCATACATACATTTAGTGAAAACTGGTACTGTTTTTCAGTAATAACATTAGGATTCTGCTCAATCCATAAATGATTATTGTGGGTACTTTAAACTGAATTTCTAAAAAAACTTACCCCTTCAGTAAACAAAATTTGTTTATCAAAATTTGCATTTTCAGCAAGTTTTTGATTGATTTATTTATTTGATTGAAATACTGGTGTTTCTAATGAGAATTTTCTTCATAAATACGTCTGCATCGCATTGGCAAGGCAATAAACAAATTGCATATCAGCTATTTCAACATTTGTAACCATTATACTTTTTAAATTAATCTCAGTCACTCAACTTAAAGTATTGTGATAAATAAACATAAAACTGCAATACTAAATCAATATTGATATCAAATTATATTTCAAGTAAGACAAAAAAAAATACACAATCATAACGTTAGCACATATCCTACTAGTTTACTAGTTTTTTTTACTTAAAAACTATTTATTTCGGGGTCATAAAACTAAAATCTATTTTTGTGTAAAAAAACTTTGACATTTCAAATTTTTCCAATCAGGTTTAAAAGGTAAGACACAAAGAGTTTAGTAGATGTGCAAATCATTTATGTGTCTTTAAACGTTTCGAAGATATTAAAAGAAAACCATCTTCAGAGAAGCCTTTCAAGCACTTGAACTTTAAATTTTTCAAAAAAATCAATGTCTAATAAATATTAGTATTATTTATATTTAATTCATGTTACAGCAAGATGGAGGTTCACCCTTGTCGTGTCCCAGTTCCACTGGACAATACAGTGTAGCGGGCTTAGTGATTTGGGGAAAAAATTGTGGGCAGACTGGAGTGTATGGTGTCTATGTTAACGTTCCTTACTACTACACCTGGATACAGAGTATATTATCACAATCTGTTGTAACAACTGCATGAAAATAATATAAGAATTGTAAGAAGACTGACAAATTCGACTTAGCCTATGAAAAGTCATATACAATCACGAGAACACATACAGTTTTTACAGATTCTAATTAAAAAATAACATGGTGCAATATATCTTTCTCTAGTAGTATTTTATTTCCATGCAAAAGCCCGATAGCTTCACATCAAATAATTATATATAATAATATTTTAATTTAAAAAATATATAAATCCTCGAACCAAGCAAGTTTTTTATTTTACTTAATGACATTACTTTTGTCACCCTTTCCAAATATACTGAGAANTGACATTTCAAATTTTTTCCAATCAGGTTTAAAAGGTAAGACACAAAGAGTTTAGTAGATGTGCAAATCATTTATGTGTCTTTAAACGTTTCGAAGATATTAAAAGAAAACCATCTTCAGAGAAGCCTTTCAAGCACTTGAACTTTAAATTTTTCAAAAAAATCAATGTCTAATAAATATTAGTATTATTTATATTTAATTCATGTTACAGCAAGATGGAGGTTCACCCTTGTCGTGTCCCAGTTCCACTGGACAATACAGTGTAGCGGGCTTAGTGATTTGGGGAAAAAATTGTGGGCAGACTGGAGTGTATGGTGTCTATGTTAACGTTCCTTACTACTACACCTGGATACAGAGTATATTATCACAATCTGTTGTAACAACTGCATGAAAATAATATAAGAATTGTAAGAAGACTGACAAATTCGACTTAGCCTATGAAAAGTCATATACAATCACGAGAACACATACAGTTTTTACAGATTCTAATTAAAAAATAACATGGTGCAATATATCTTTCTCTAGTAGTATTTTATTTCCATGCAAAAGCCCGATAGCTTCACATCAAATAATTATATATAATAATATTTTAATTTAAAAAATATATAAATCCTCGAACCAAGCAAGTTTTTTATTTTACTTAATGACATTACTTTTGTCACCCTTTCCAAATATACTGAGAAGTAGCATGCATTTTAGACAACATAGCTTAGATAGTTTCCTGTGACAGAAGTTCTGTTTGTCCAAATAAATTAATTAAACTTCAGTTCATATATTCCCACCAAACACGCACAATTACCTAATTTGTAATATCACCGGGGAACGAAAGTCATGCCCAATTTAAAACAATGGGCTTTTGATATAATTTCGGAAATTATTTTGTTCAGCTTAAGGCAACTTTGTAATCCATCGCAGGGGCGTCAGAACATAAATAATGAAGTCATTCAAAAGTTGACATAATGCTGGTAATTAAGTGACATACGAACTAATGAGGGCGGTATCATTTGTGTCTAATCTAAAAAAAAGAACACACTTCCGTCCTGTTTGCCTTCAGGGAAAAACAGTAAATTCATAATTTTGTCGTTTTATTTCTTTGGAAGAGAGACAATTAATTTTGGTAACAGTATTATGAGTAAATGTAAAAGTCACTTCTCACTACGTTCAGCAACAATTTTTATTCAAAATATATCGGGTCTTTTATATAAAAGTTTATTAAAACTAAGGAGACGTTCAGGGACACTTAATACGATGGCTCGACGGTAATAATTTTCTTAATAGCTTAGACATGCACCTGCTTTTCGCTTCACACATAATTTGCGTCCTTAACTGTCAATTAGACCATTTTCCGCTAGAAGTGTCAGCTGCGTTGGTGGTATGTCCAAAAAAATATTAGAGACCAGTTGAAAAGGAATGAGTTGCTTATATTTTATTTTATTTATACACTGTTCTACAGGTTTACCCAAATACAGAACAGAAGTGTGCAGAATAGAAATAGAATAGCATGCTATGTTGAAAAAAAACAATAATGAGACACAAACAGCCAGTCTAACAGAAACTAATAATAAATTTAATATTTAAAATATGATTTATGATCAGTGCAATACTTATTATGAATTCTACACATAAAATGTAAAGGAGAATTCTCTAGATTAATTGTTCGTGGTTGGCATGAATTTTCCTGTACAAATACATTGTTTGGCCCAACCTCAGCCCAGCCAGCCTTGCGCTCTCAGCCGCTGTTAGACATTCGCTGTGTTAACACTGTTAATATTTTATTAAATATATTGTTTTTAGGTATTTGTGCAATCATGGGCCAGTGTATCGTTGACTATTGTAATATTAGATCTGATCACAATAGTGCTGAAATTTCAATCTTTAGATAAGTATGTAATAACATAAAAATATTTTATGCAATTTCGACGCCTTCGCGCAGCATTCTCCATCTCACATGCACTTATTTCCAGTGTTGGCTACAGGTTTTTTAGTGCCACGTTATCAACTGATGTAAATATACAGACTCATATTATCAACCAGCTATTTACAATTAGTTTTTTGTCACAATTGGTGTTCATTTTCATGATGGCTATTAAAAATAATTGTAAATATTGAACCTTTTTTTGTCATAAGTGTAAAAATATTGCTTAATCCGGAGCTGTTCAAAGTATGCGCGGTCAGATTACCTCGCACACTCCACTTCCCCGCAATTTGACTACATCGGTTCCCATGCTTTGCGATAGGAAACATACACTCTACGTGGTCTGTGGTTTAGCCATTGCAGAAGGACAATACAAACTACTGTGCACAATTTTATGAAGAACATCTGACAAAAATTTTCACGTTTTTCAATGAGTGACGAAATATAATGTCAAGAAGACTACACGCCATGGGTGAATAAACACCATGACTTTTAAAATACAGTAGTTTCAAATATCTTCCTTGAATATTTTCTAGGATTTTATATAAATGTCATAATTGGGACAGCGAGCAAGTGATGCATATTCAAGTTTGCTTCTATCAAAGGCATAGTAACGGGACTTTTCATAGTAATGAAATTATATTAATAAAATTGCGTCTCTTTCGTAGAATGAAATCCAGTGTTCTAAGTGGCTCACTGACAGTAATTGCGACATACGAGAAAAAATTAGTCTTTATTTTATATTATTT